CACCGACTCATAGAGGATCACCGAAGTTATCGATAAGTGTTGAATATTTCATGAGAACCACCGATTGGCGGAGGTAGTAGACCGATTCATATAATTGTTGGACAAATATGTGACGAAGGTGAGTGCTTAATGAGAACCGCTATCGATGAGGAGTATTGGTGATTTGTCTTGAGGAGGTGCAAACACGCATATAACAAATGAAATATATTCTAAGGGGTTTAGCTTGGGAGGATAAGAGATACTTACTTATTTGGTGATCTCGCATGTTATTGAAAAATAGATTTGACAATAGTTGAAAATTGTTTTAAGTTAGCGAATCGGGGCCAAGCATGTATAGCCACTCAAAGCCATGCTTTACGATGCAGCGAAAAGGCCACAACAAGTTTTTTGGTCACATTGGTGACAAGTTGTACATGAAGGTTGGTTTACGAAATTTGCCTTGAGGCCAAGGTTAGACCAAGAATGTGTAAAATAAATGTCAAGGACGAAATTTGTTAGGATTATAAGTCGATGAAAAGTATTCTCTTATGCTATTTTGATACCTTTGGTGTTGTAGTCCAAGAATTTGAAGTTGCAAAAAGTTAAGCAACTTAGTCAAGGTTTGTGTCGGAGGTCAAATCCTTCGTTGCTAACAAGTTGGGCCGACAAATTGCAGATAAAAAATCAGTTGGCCCCTTCACTTCTTGGCGTGGTTGGAGTTGTTCCGAGTTGTGGCGAAGGATGCAACCTCCGCGCTGGCATGGTTGGTGTGGAGTCTGGGAGGCGGAGGTCCGTATGCGGAGGCCCGCTGGTCAAGCCTTTTGCCCTTCTGCGTCGTTGCTTGGACTAATGCAAAGGCCAAGGAACAAGCAATGCGCGCACACACAGAGCACAAAAGCTTGCAAGGTAATCTCATTAGCGTCACGGAGGTTCCGTATGTGGGGCTGCTTATTTAAGACCCATGTGCCCGTGAAGGACACGACGATCTCAATTCAAGAAGGTTAGCTCATGTATATGTATGTGAACTTTTTTGTACGAATTCTAATATTAAGGTGGGCAAGATACTTATCTTTGGGCAGCAGCATTGATTGGAGTTTTGCATGGTCATTCGAAGGCTCATGCTCAAAATAGATGGGCCAAACATGATACGAGCCAAAGGCAAAAAAGCTGCTAGAGTCATAGGTCATAAAGATATCTCCATGCAACGCTCCGTATCTTTGGTAGGAGAATGGAGAGTTGGAGACACATACACCAAGAGTCGAATATAAAAGCACAAATGGCGAGAGGTAAAGCTGATGTGATAGCTCATCGGACTTGGTGGTTCGGAATGGGTGGTAGATCGAGGCCGGAGTTGTTCGTGAGTCGCGCGAAGGATCGACCTCCGTGCGGGAACACGATCGATCTTGGGCGAGAGGTCAATCGCCAAAGACCATCCCGGCGTGGGCAAAAATATTGCCGTCCTCCTGCTTGGGTCTTCGCCCCACGAAGCGGAGGGCGAACCGGCGCCACATACGCCCGTCAAGTGAGCGCCTTCCTCTAGTTACCTACACACAATCAGCGTCTCCGGCGGAGAGGTCGCGCCAGGTCTCCGACAACGTCCTGCAAGCACATCTTTGGAACCGTCATCCCGGTGGTGGGGCCTCGCGCTTGCATCATCATTAGTGTCGTGCAGATGGTGGAGTCGACGAATCGAGGGCGTTCTCCATGTCTTGCTGGGCTGGAGGTGCATGTCATGTGCCTTCGCCTTAGTGCGATCTTGAGCAGCTGGTTTGGTGGCTCTGCGTGACCTCCGCAACAACATGCGCGCCTACGGAGGAGCATTGAGTGCCAAGCTTTCGCGGGTGCAACGTTGACATGTCATTATGAGACCTTTCTCCGCAAAGTTGCACATGCACTACGCATGGTGTATGCGTTGGATCATCCAAGGTTGCAAAGGTAGCATATATGTGATCCAAATCTAAGAAGGCTTATATAGATTACGCACATCTTTCATAACACGGAGAAAGGCATCATAGTGGCTAGCGGAGGTTGTATGATCAATATGAAGAGAAGATCAGTTACGAAATCCGACTCATAAAACTTTTTACCGGATTTTGCGAAGTTATTAGCAAAAATAGAAATAAGAGCAGAAAAGGAGTTATAAAAAATATAAAATGTGAGCAAAGATGAAATCGAGGGTAGTCTTTGCTTTTTTATTTCTCAAGGCTTTCTAATTTTGTAGAAACTTTTTTTTTTAGTAGTAGCGGCCAAGGCTTTAAGATTTCGCTAAAAAAATTCTTTTTTTCTTTATTTTCTTTTCTTTTTTTGGAAAAAAGGTCCGTGAATTTTTAAGATCTCGAGATAGTTTTTACGGAGGTGTAAGTATGTCGTACACTCATACCTTCGCCCAAAGGTTCTTACCATCCCTTGAGGTTCACTTGCACGATCGCTAATGAAGTCGTCGCAACAAAGGCTAAGCCAAAGAAGGTTGGCCACGAAGGCAGTGCCTGAGAAGGTCCTCTGATGAAGGTCTCAGCCAGAGAATGTCGGCGATGAAGGCCAAGGGCGATCATGGCGAAGACGGGCCGAGAAGGCCTACCGACGAAGGCTCCAACTCTAGCTCTCGCTTAAAATTTTCGTGCTGAGAAACACGATGGCGCCATGTTGAAACAATGGTTTCTAACAAGCGTGAGAAGTGGGCGGAGGCCTTCGCCTTAGGTTGGGGTCTCCGCCTAAGATGGGCGGGAGGCCGGCCTCCGCCTAAGACGGGCAGAGGCCCCTGAACGCCAAGCGCTCTGCCGGACAAGATCATTCACCGAGGTCTCGGTAGAAGGTCGCTAAACGAATGATTCAAAGAGGCTTTGGCAAAGTGGGAGTAAGAAGGGCGGAGGCCTTCGACTTTGGCCGAGGCTCCTGACTGCAGCTTCGGCAGAGAGCAATCGCTGAAAGAGAGAATGAGGATCAAATACCGACTCACAAGAACTAGGGTTTCATTCATTCATTCACCACCCCACAATGTAGCCATAAGTGTTCTCTATTTATAGGGCTCAACTACCACTTTACAGAGTTTACAACAAAGGCCCCTCAACCTGCTATTACGGTACATTCCAGGAATATTCCAATTTCTAATGTCTAACCTCGTGGGTGTTCTCTCATCACACCGCCTCACGATGTCTTCACCTTGGGCCTAAGCCGATTTTCACCGGAGGCCCATCAACCGCCCTCACGTATGCCTTGGCTTGATCTTGATCATCCTGCACCTGATGGGCCTCCAACGCCTCGGGAACACCTTCGCCACGATCATCGTGCACTAGGCATCCATGTCCTGGGAGAGCCTCCGTGGCGTCCTGTGGAGAAACTCATCGTCATCCTTGTACTAGTCCTCCGCCATCTTGGGAGAGCCTCATCTCGGGAGAACCTCCGCCATTATCTCTTGCGCTAGGCCTCCGCCTCTCTTGGGAGAGCCTCCGCCATCTCGTGGAGAGAACCTCCGCCATTGTTCGTGTGCCGGGCCTCCGCCGTCTTGGGAGAGCCTCGCTGCTTTTGGATAGAGCCTCATTGCTTTTAGGGATAGCCTCAGCCATTATTCCTTCATTAGGCCTCTTCGAGGGAGTTGGCCCATACTCCGTATGGGCTCCCCAACACGCCCAAACATCAAGTAAATATGAGGAGAGGATTAGAGAAAATATGTGACCTAGGTAAAAGTAATAATAAAAAAGTTCTTCACAGACAATAAGAGATAACTCTTGTATGGTTTGGTTTCTGTAACTTTTCAGTAGCTAAATTAGTTTGGTTTCTTATAACTTGTAGCGAAACTAGTTTGGTTCTTAAAACTTGACTTGTAGCCAAACACAGGCTTTATTATTGGATTTGCTGTAACTCTAAATCTTAAAACGAAGCTAGCTGTACGGCTGCACCTCTTAAGCAAAGCGTTTGACATTCGGAATACTCCAATCTTTTTATTACCAACATGTCAGTCTATCTCTATCAGGGACCAGGTACGGGCCATGCCATGCATTATGCATGCAGCCCACATACAGGAGGTATTTTATACGTGCAACAAGCCAATGTGAGATTAGCGTACTAATTCGCTGTCTGCATCTTGCCAGTTTGATTGCCTATATATATGAAACAACGATTAGGAAACTGACCAAAGCAAGCAGGCACACCGATCTTTTCTGACAGTCTTCCTCTCCCTCTCTCCGATCCTCTCTCTAGTAGAGGTAACTTCTGCAGCAGCCGAGGAGGGAAAGCTCGACTGACACAATGGCGGGAGGACAGCTCAACGTGCTGGCCACACTCGACCAGGCCAAGACACAATGGTACCATTTCATGGCGATCGTCATCGCCGGCATGGGGTTCTTCACCGACGCCTACGACTTGTTCTGCATCGCGCTCGTGACCAGGCTCCTCGGCCGCATCTACTACTCCGACCCCACCTCCAGCGGGGACCCCAAGCAGCCTCCCGCCCAACGTGTCGGCTGCCGTGACGGGCGTCGCGCTCTGCGGCACTCTTTGCCGGACAGCTCTTCTTCGCTGGCTCGGCGACAAGCTCGGCTGCAAGAGCGTCTACGGTTTCACCCTCATCCTCATGGTGCTCTGCTCCGTCGCGTCAGGCCTCTCTGTTCGGACACACGCCCAAGGGCGTCATCGCCACGCTCTGCTTCTTCCGCTTCTGGCTCGGCTTCGGCATCGGAGGCGACTACCCACCGAGCGCCACCACCATCATGTCCGAGTACGCCAACAAGAAGACCCAGCGGCGCCTTCATCGCCGCCGTGTTCGCCATGCAGGGCTTCGGCATCCTCTTCGGCACCATCGTCGCGCTCGTCGTCTCGGCGGCGTTCCGGAACGCGTTCCCGCCCCTGCCGTACTTCGTCGACGCCCAAGCGTCGCTCGTCCCGGAGGCCGACTATGTCTGGCGCGTCATCCTCATGTTCGGCACCATCCCGCCGCGCTCACCTACTACTGGCGCATGAAGATGCCTGAGACGGCGCGGTACACGGCGCTCATCGCCCGGAACACGAAGCAGGCCACGGCCGACATGGCCAAGGTGCTCAAGAAGAGATCGAGGAGGAGGAGCAGGCGGAGCGGCAAGTGGTCGGCGCCAACACCTGGGGCCTCTTCTCGGCGCAGTTCCTCCGGCGCCACGGCCTCCACCTCTTGGCCACCACCAGCACGTGGTTCCTGCTGGACATCGCCTTCTACAGCCAGAACCTGTTCCAGAAGGACATCTTCACCAAGGTCGGGTGGATCCTGCCGGCGAGGACCATGAACGCCATCGAGGAGGTGTACCGCATCTCCGCGCGCCCAGGCGCTGATCGCGCTCTGTGGCACCATCCTGGCTACTGGTTCACCGTCGGCCCCATCGACGTCGTGGGCAGGTTCTGGATCCAGATCATGGGCTTCTTCATGATGACCGTGTTCATGCTCGCGCTCGGGGTGCCGTATTGAGCACTGGACCAAGGCGTCCAACCACACCGGCTTCGTCGTGCTATACGGGCTCACCTTCTTCTTCGCAAACTTCGGGCCCAACAGCACCACCTTCATCGTGCCGGCTGAGATCTTCCCAGGCGAGGCTCCGGTCCACGTGTCACGGCATATCGGCGGCGGCAGGCAAGGCCGGCGCCATCATCGGCGCGTTCGGGTTCCTGTACGCGGCGCAGGACCCTAAGAAGCCCGACAAGGGTACTCGCCGGGCATCGGCATCCGCAACGCGCTCTTTCGTGCTCGCCGGAACCAACTTTCTTGGCATGCTCATGTCTCTGTTCGTGCCGGAGTCCAAGGGCAAGTCGCTTGAGGAGATCTCCAAGGAGAACGTGGACGAGGAAGCTGAGGCCAAAGTGTAGAGAGATCTGCACCGCCTCTGCACGTACATTGCACTTTCTCTGCGTGCATGCATATGTGATGCACGGATGGTTTGTTTGTGTGCTTTTGCTTCTGTCATTGTGTGATTTATTACCTTCTGATTTTGTTGCGGTTTGTGTATAATTCGGAACTATTTCCGGATACTTTCTCGATCGAGAATTTCATTTGCATTGCGTGTTTGTGTTGGTTGGGACTAGCATTCTCATCAGTAAATAAAAGCTACGGTACATATGTTTCTGCATTTCTCCTATGCCATCCGAATTATCCCATCC